GGGGGGGGGGGGGGGGGGGGGGGGGGGGGGGGGGGGGGGGGGGGGGGGGGGGGGGGGGGGGGGCACCTTGAAGCACGCCCTCGCTGCTGCAGCGTTCGCGTGGTTTAGAGCTGCTGTTGTTGCGAACAAGCATGCACCAGGAGGTAGATTTCCGTGCCTCTGTTTCTGTGTATGCACAACCGAGACGTTGGCGGCGTACAGTAAACGTTTTTGTTTCGATTTGTTTTGTCTCTCGCTGTGGTTCTGCCCGTTCCCCCTCCCCGGCGACAGATTTTCCGGGAGAGAGAGAGTCGGGGGCAGGACCGGGGGGCGTCAGTTTGTTTGGAGAGCACGTTGTGACTTTACTTGCTTTGTGAAAAATTCGTTAAGGCAAACGCGGAAGGGGGGGGGGGGGTTGCTTCGTCCGCGTACGATTTTGGTTTATTTATCTGCCCAATTCTTGCTTCGCTGTACTGCTTGCTATGTCTGGTCTACTAGATTGCACGGCGATTTTTTACTTTTGTGACGGGGGTCTTATACGGCGGCGGCAGCAGCAGGAGCAGCAATATTCTTTCGAAAGCAATCAACGTGTGGTGGCCGCAGGCTTGACACAGCCTGCTGGCCAAACATCACTGGACGGTATTCGCGCGTGCAACTGGGTGGGCGAAGTCGCACTAAAAGGTGAATGCCCTCTTGCGGTGTGGCGAAATCGATCCGATGCACTCGCGCGACCTGCCGACCACCTCTGCCCACGCATGCCGCGTTTCTCAAAGGAAGCGCGGCACCAAATCGGCTGTGCGTGGAAGCTGGAGGTCAAGCTAGAGGTGTCCAATCAATCAGCTCGCATGTGTTCTATTTCGCGTTCATCCAGCTGTGCCGCAGTGTTCAGCTGTTGTTCAGAGCGTGGAGATTGTCGTTTGTACACAAGTTGATGCTTCACAACACAAGGGATTATTGTTTGCTGTCCTATTGTCCATCCCGCCCAGTCTTTCTCGCCACGCGTTGAGTTCTTGCACTCTCGCTTCATGCGGGTGCACGAGGGTGGTTATTGAAGTACCACGGGTACGATGGAGGTTGTGGAATTGTTCCTGTGCCTGGGGCGAGGCATCCATGGGACTGCTGTTTGTTTGCCGAGGGAAGCCAAGAGGTGCAAAGTGACCAACGCAGGGGTGGGTTCGATTGAGTCTCTCGAGCTTCTCTTCTGTGTTCTTGGAACCCCGTGCTGGCGGCGTACGAAAACGAAGGCGCGTCTTATGTTGGAAATCTTGCTTGTTAGATGTTTGGCAGTCGCATGCGCGCAAGGCGATTTTTTTCAACATGGGGGTGTTAGTTCGGAGCTTACTGTTCTTTTTTTGTGTGTCGCGGACTGTCGCAAGGACTCTTAGAAATGACGTTTTGTTGTTGTCGTTGATGTTGTTTGTATTTCTATGTGGAGTTGTGTTGCAAGGCTATCGAGAGGTGCACTACATACAAACAGCAGGTGGGAACGAGCGACACGGTATTAACCGATTGCTGGCGGCGTGATGTTGAAGGAATGATGTTTATGTCCGGGATAAGATGTTAATCATGTGGAGAATAATTTGAAGCGAATAGCTGTCGTCGATGACGACGAACTGCCGTAGTCATCTTTAACGTTGTAGAACTGTTGTCACCTCCCTATACCACTTACCTCCACACTCGATATTCCTACAATATGCAACCTGAACATGACGAAAACATCGTTTTTCAGCGGTCCCACCAGCAGTGCACACCTCAGAAAAACGACCAAGAATGAAAAACAGAACAAGATGTTCGCATGTGCTAAACAAGAACCGCCGCATGCCCTCTGCCCATCCACCGCCTGGTGGGTTCTTCGGCAAGGCTGCCTGCCCACGCCACGACATCCCAAAAGCACGATGTACTGTTGACAAAATAGTTCTAGCCTGCTGCACTCAGCGCAGGCCATTCGTTGTTCACAAGCTATTCAAGAGGGAATCCTTATAGTCATTCGTTGTTCACAAGCCATTCCAGCGAATCTTTGTCGAGCGTGGTCCCGCCGAGGAGTCGAACCACCACCCTCCCCTCCCGCCAAAACTCCACCCTATCCAACCCACCCGGCCACGCAAAGCTCTTGGTCTCCTCGCTGTTCTCCCCGAGGGGGGCGGTGGAGGGTGATGGCGTCAGCCCCCGCATTGCCTCGAGCCGCGGCCAGTTCTTCCGCTGCTCCTCGAGAATGCCCTCCCCGAACCTAAGGATCTTGTCGTTGAAAGCGTGTGGGTGGATGCCCGGATAAGGAGAGGTGGGAGAGCGAGTCACTCGCGGAAAGAAAGCAAAAAAAACGAACAGGAAAGTTGATAAACGAAAGGGATGCAAATTGTAATGACACATGCGCATAGCAGGTTTTTGTCCCGCAATGAGACTGACTATTTTCATTGGTCATTCGGTGAGCGGTCGATGCTACTTCACGAAACACACACACACACATCATGGCCTTTCGAAACATGTTCTGCTTTCAGTCGCTCAGAGACTGACGTAAAATTATTGGTCACCGGGCTAGCGCGGTTGATTCAAACTCGAGACACTCTCACACACAAATACATCATGACCTTTGAAAGCATTTTCTGTTTTCAGCCGCACTGAGACTGGCATCCTTTCATTGGTCAGCCGGTTATCCCGTTAAAGTACTTATGTATCATCATTGGTCAGCGCCGTTATGCTATCTCAAGAACACACACACATACACAAACACCTTGAGGGTCCGGGGCCACACCGTGTGGCGCACGCTGCGGTGCTGACGAAAGTTCCTCCCCAACGTCAGGGACACCAGCCCGGGGGGTAGCAGCCCCCGCGGTGGCAGCGGCTTATTGAAGTGCTTCCCGAGCGTCAGCTCCTCGAGGCTTGCTGGAAGGAGAGGAACTATCTCCGGATCGTTCTCCCTCCTTTTCCCCCTGCGGTGACCACGATCGCCTCTGCAGCTGCCGCCAGTGGCAATCGGTGGAGGCAGTGTGGACCCCGCTGGCTGTCCGGGCCCTGATCGACTCTCCCTCCTTTGGCAGGCTAGCTCTCGATTGAAGCTTGAGCCAAAGGTCAGCTTTCGGAGGTTTGGCGGCCACGCGAGTCCAACCAGGCGCCGGTTGAACCCCCGGTCGAAGGTCAGCTCTCTCAACGCCAAGGGAAGGTCGCTGCCGTCGCCCAGGTTTTTCGCCGGCGCCGCCCACACGAGGCTTGTTATGCTTAGGGGTGGGAGTCGCGACGCAGCGGCAGCACCAGCACCACCGCCGCCGTTGCTGAAACCGCCGGCGTTCTTTTCGGTCCCGCCCGCTTTCTGTTGCTTCTGCCGCCGCCACAAGCTCCACTTTTTTCTCCCGTTGGTCCTGACTTTATTCCCGTCGTTGTCGCTGCTGTATCCTCCGCCACGGTTATCCCGGTCACCGCCATCACCGGACTTACTCGTCCGGGCCCACATGGCCCTAGGGGTCTGCGCATCTACTCGCACGCGCACTCGGGTGCAGCTTCGGCACACTTCGCAGAAGAAGAGGGAGGCGCGCTGGAGCTCCACCACTTCGGCCCAGGAGGGGCCCAAGAGGCCGGACTCGACCAGAACTACGAGCGCGTTCTCCGTCAGTGCTATTGTTTCGAGTTGGTTTTGACACGCGCATTGGGTTGACGCATGATGCGGTCATTGGCAGTGCTGCGTGCGTACACTGCTGTGGGGGGGGCATTAACGGACCTTCCCGAAGAGCTTGTTTTTTGGATCAGGCGATAGCTGCATACGTGAGATCGTGTTTCATGGTCACGAAGCTAAAAAAGGAACGGTGAATCGCTCGCAATTGGGGAAACGGGGTCAAATACGCTCCTCTGGGTATTAATGGCCACTGACATACGCACGCATTTAGGCAAGCAGAGCTCTGGTACACCAACCTACAGCAGGGGGCAGGGGGATCTAGTCTAGACTTGTGTACAGGCGTAGCTTGCTTGAGGCGCAGGTCCTGCGGGCATTGTAATCGAAACGCCCGATATAGTGGGTGGGATCTCATGCGCAGCCAAAACTGGTGTTGCTGATCGCGAGATTGCAGCCTGCAGTGGCGTACACAGCCAAGACCAGCAGCGTCGCAGAGGCAATCATGAGCAAGAGGGAACGGTTGCTTACCTGCGGTGTGACCGTAGGATAGCGGTTGTGAGAAAGGCCGCCGTACTGCGGGTTCCTCTCTGGCTTTATGCTTGCCCTTGCGTTTCGTCATGATGTGCTATTACCTCGTATATGAATTCGGCTGTGTCCGAGTCAACAACGACACCACACAACGTGCCGGGCGAATGCGCTGTGCGGTGTCCGGAGACAAAGCTGCTCTCGCTGTCATCGGGGGCTCCGTAGAATACACTGACAGTCCCGCGCTCGCTGTACGCATTTCCTGAAGCCTGGGAAACTGAAGTGGCCATCAACCATAACTCTCCACTCTCAACACTTTGGTACATAGCTCACCTGAGCCAAACTGCTGCTGGTTTAGCGCAACGGGACTGCTGGAACATGGCTCGTTTTGCGGCTTTTGCCCGGCTACTGCGCCGTCTCTGGCCACTGCTTCGCCAGTTGCTGCTGCTAACCAGCCTCAGCTTACCTCCAGCTCTAGCCTTCGCAGTCAGGAAGATCATCGGTGCGCGAAGGTGACTGCTGTTGCACACACCGCCGTTGCTGCATCGCCATGTTTTATGAACGCGTGCCTCTACCTAATGCTTTCTTGTAAGCTGTAGACTGGATCGAACACCCTACATAGGTGTCTCCGTATCTGTCTCACAGGCTTAGCATGCTTGCCTTGGGAGGTTTTTACCTGATTCAATGAAGTGTTGCGTTGTACTAAAATATTTGTAGGTTACTGCTGTTTGTTGAAGGAGATGTTACCTGGGAACTACGAAGTACTACAGTAGGTGGCCCGATATAGTAGCAACCTGAATAGTGAACTGCCCGGTATAGTGGCATGAAATTCTCTTGGCAAAATCTCAACCCGATATAGTGGCAGTTTCCCACTATTGCGGACGGGGCCCTCAATAGTGGCATTTTGGACATTCCACACACCCAATAGTGGCAGTTCCAGTAGCGAGCCCCCACCACTGCTCTACCACACCTGCCCATACACCGATCAGCAGTGGCCGCCACACGTATCATGCAAACCTGCGTGGACCTAGAACTGTGAACACGCGGCTACAATGCGTTTGGACGTACCGTGGTTCCTGCAGTCTGTTTGCACAGAAAAATGGGATTTGACCACAGAAGGCCCGGACCCTTGGACAATCGTGTCGTTTGAAGCAGTTCATGCGGATACTGCTGCACACGAATGCTAAACCACGAGGAGTGCAGCACATCATGGCATTACCCGTACGTATACAGCGCACATGAGTGTACACCCAATGAAATGCAGTCGATATCGTGAATATCAAAGCTTCTCATCCGATATAGTGGCAAAAGTGCCACTATTGCCGGCCAGTAGTGGCACTTTTGCCACTATATCGGATAGTGGCAACTGCCTTGAATAGTGGCATATTGTCCTCTTGCCAAGTAGAGGCCAGTACCGTGAGGTCATGCACATACCCTCTGTCGGTATATAAATTTCAGTGCGTTCTGCGTCTTGTTGGTCGCTCCCGAGCCGAAAACGTCAACCCTGCCACGTTGATCTATCTGGTGAGGTGCTCGGCTTCGGCGAAACAGAGCCGTTTTTGTGTCTGCTGCGTGTGTCACCAGTCGAAAAACGCATGCCAGAGAGAGGCGTTAGGCCGACGACATCCACAAACTGCAGCCGATGGCGTGTGGTCGTACGCATTCCCTCTGCTCGCGTCCCAGATACAGGGCGTGTTGTTCAGTTTTGATTGCACACTGCTTGCAAACGTGCACCGGAGTGTATTTCGGTGTTGGCTTTTTGACGTTGCCTTTTTTTTGTCTCGTTGCTCCGAGTGTGATCACTCCCACGACGCATGGCAGAGGGAGGCCCAAGGCGGAGGACATCCACAAACCGCAGCCAATGGCGTGCGGTCATACATATGGCCTCCGCAGGCTATCCAAGAACAGGAGGCTCTATGTCTTGTTGGTCGCACACTAGCCGAAAACGTAAACTGAAGCATGGTGCGACCCACACAAACTTAAATCGGCTTTTTTTGTCCACCGGGAAAACAAAATGTCGCGAGGGGCCGTGAGAAGGTCGCTCGGATCTGAATTATTTTTCCCTTGCACCCCCCTCCCCCCTCAGAGAGAGAGAGAGAGAGAGAGAGAGAGAGAGAGAATCCCCGAACAGAATACCCCTTTTGAGAAACGGCCTGGTCTTGGCTATCGCCAGATCACCAAGTTGTTTCTATGCATATAGCTGGTTATGTCCCTCATCAACGAGCTCTTGGCGCAGGAGGTGGCTGAAGTGCCCCCTCTACTCTGTGTTTGCAGTCTGCAGCAATGACACAACCATGCTACCGTTGCCGACATCCAGACCGTACCTCGATTGGGAGTCTCTCGCATAACTCTCCAGAAACGCCGTGAACAGCGTGAGATGTGCAAAAAATAGCGTAGGTGTGCAAAACAGAACATACCTGGCTAAGGAGCAGCGGAATTGGCCGAAACACTGCGGATCGGTGTACGAAAGCGAGGGCTGGTCACGTAGACTGTTCCACAAGGCAGCGTAAGGTCTGAGCCCTTTTCAGTACATTACGGCAACAAGACCGTCTCCTGCTTTCATCGCAAGATCTAATGCCGTGCTCTATCGATCGAATCTTTGTGTTTGTTTTGATATGTTTGTGCTGATATCAGCGAATCTATCTGTCTATGTTTTGCAAGTTGAGTTTCTTTATGTTTGACGCTCGTCACCCCTTTTCCCGCCCTTCATCAGGAAAGCGATGCCGGAACTATCCTTCAGCGACTTTTGGAGAGACGCGAGCCTCGGTCGGCTACAGGAGGCACGTGGTAGTGACGAGCACGCGAACGTTCGGATGCACCAGCTTCTACATCCCTCTGCGCGTCGCAATTTCGTCGAGTATATTGTCGCACCCGGACAGCGTGAGGTTGCACCCCCTCCCTCTCACCCCGGGCACACGCCGTCCATTAACCCCAGAGCGGTTTACGTACGATGGGGCGACCGCTTGATGTTGTATTCCGGAACTTACGATAGAACGCGGATCCGAAGCAGGCTGTGTGCCTACCCCTCCTTTTTGCCCCCGTTCGATTCATTGTTCGTCTCTACACTTTCTGTTATGCCTCCTCAATCTCTCCGCGACGACTCTTACGCCTCCCCCCCGCCCCTCCCCGCACGCACGACAGGTGTTGATTTCTGATAATCACGTGGACGTGAAGCTCAGGGACGGCCTGGTAGTCGGCGATGGTGGTGGTAGAGCGGGTAGCGCGGCAACGGCCGCCGTGTCGGCAGCTGGAGAGACGGGCGTTACGAGGTACCGCGCGCGTTTGTTGCCGTTCGTGGACGGCGGAGACTTGGTGGACCTGTTGGCGAAACAAGATACGGTGAGGCGAAAAGAAAACAAGAACGGGGAAGGAGGGGGGAGCGGCGGGGGGGGGGGGGGGGGGNGGGGGGGGGGGGGGGGGGGGGCGGGAGAGAGAGAGACCATTGGGAGTGAACAATATGATATGGGAGATGAGCATGAATGCTGGGCATTAAAGGCAGGTGTCGGAACAAGCAGATGGAGAAAGAGACAAAGTGCCCCCCCTTTGCCCGGAGGAGGGCGTTCTCACGCTAAAAGCTCATCGTGGGCAGTCTTGCATGAACGGTAAGCATGCCCCCCCTCCCCCCTCGGTGTTTGCGGTCGGGATTAGGTTTTCGTCGCTTGGCAACGACGTTGTGAAACAAGCCTCACTTCGTGAGCTCGCCAACCAGGCTACCGCTGTTGTTTTTTTGCCTTTTTTCCCTTTTATTTTATGGTAACCATGAATGGTGGTAGAGTAGACTATGTTGTGCGGGGTCGAGAACCCTCACTCCGCGCAAAGGGGATGATCGCACGCTGTGTTTAATTCGTCAAGCACCCCGAGGCAGTTACACAGCGCTTATAACTGTCTCTGGAAGTGAAAGCATCAGCAAATATATTAAGTCATACGCAGCTGTCATCCATCCATACGCAAGGAAGTAAGCACAAGATGCCGAAGACCCGTAGCAGGATGCAGCACACCCTCCATGCGACTCACCGAATACCTCACGGCGCTTCGCGCTTGGTGATGTGAGAGTCTGGTCCGGTGAGAACGCGGCGTGCTCCGTCCCGGCTTTGTAGGGAAGCAAGGTCAATGGTCTAACGACTACGGCATGCACGACTATGAGTACACC